CATGCACTGTGAAAGGCCTGGAGGAAAGTGATAAAAGAAAAGCTCTCACCCCCCTCCCTCTGCAACACTGTGCAGAGTCATTCTGCATATTAAAAAAAAACTATATTTTATAAATGATATCTATTTTTCAGGCGATGTGATGTGTTTTTATCTAGCAGGTGAACAGGTGAGCATTGAAATCCCAAACATTTCAGTCTCACTCCTTGCTCTCTTTCTATAGTGCACAAGGTTAACTACAGTTCGTCCGTCTATCAAAGGCACACACTCAGAGGTTCAGGCCAGGGGCACCTTTGAGGTTTGTGAAGGGGGGGAAGAGGAAAAGTGCAGACGCTCAATGTTCTATAGTTGGTTTAGTGCTAAAAGTCTTTTAAGAGCACTCACCTTGTCTTTCTCCGCAGTTGTGTAATAAGAAAACGTTTTTTTTTATCTTTGTAAAACCATCTTGTTTGACTACTAAAATTATTGGAGATATAAAATGTAATTAATATGTGTTTGTAGATAAAGAATACAATTAACACAGAAATTGTATTAAAGTCAACTGTACAATACTGTACCTATTACTTCTAGGTCAGCTGCCTTTCTAAACCTGTTATGGGTTGTTTGTTTGGCCTGTGGTGATGCTGCATGAGTTGCAGCTTTTCTTTCTGAAACCGTAAAAGTGGCCTCCAGTAAGTGAACTATGGTAAGTGGAGACCGGCTTCAGGATCCTGAAACTGCAACACTGCAGCTGGACAAAGAGCTGTTCACCTGTTTATTCAAAGTTCAGTGAAGCTCGACTCTGAGCTGGAGTAACTTCTACAACACTGGTCAAGTGTTTATTCAAACCTTATTGATATTGAATGATTGATTTGTCCAAAGTGTGAATGAGATAAGATGAACAGTTCTTGAGATTTGCTGCTATATACAGACAGACAGCGATTTCTGGAGTTTGTAGACAAATTAGTAATTTGGAATGTGGAAACTAAAGCACTATTGTGAGACGTTTGTTTTTGAGCTCATCGTTGCCCCTTGTTGATATTGAGGGAAAACCACCACAAGAACATATTGATCTCTCTCTTTATGGTTTGGGTCAGGACTCAGGGGACAGTAACGACCCCATTTCTGCCTCAAGCACTTGGTTTAATGCTGAAGTGGGAACATCTCCAAACAATATGTCTATTTTTACCAGAGGAATGACTAAGGTTTTCCTCATGTGGCTGTAGTTCACAACATGTACTGTACACAGCTTGAGCTGCACAAAGAATCAAATCTCTGCAATAAAGTCACAACTAATTGTAGGACAGTTATTATAGATTTGCAGATCAGTGGCTGCTGCAGAGCTGCTGTCACCGAACATAAAAAGTGAGAGGGGTGGAGTTTGATCTGTGGTGCTGAGGGCAAGCCAAAACATTCAGGCAAAGAAATGCAGGAGCTGCTGATTAAAAATTCAAGCAAAAGCCAACTGTCATTTTAAACGGAGGAGCGGTGAGGTCCGTGGGTCTGATTTCTCCCTGGACAGATGATGTCATGTCACCTCCATCATCCAGGACGTAATGAAACCACAGGACCTCCCCTCAGTTTTATAATCAAACACATGTACAGAGGATAAATTGCGCAAATTATCCAGATGTTAAAATCAAAATGTGATGATGGCAAAGACATTAACTGTTGTTTTCGGTTCATTTCAGTCTGAATCTTCTGAATCCACCACCTGCAGCATCTGACACATTTTTAATAAGACAGTCATCTCTTCCTTTCCTCAATGTCCACTGATCAGCAGCCACTTAATTTCCTGTTGGGTGAATATACACACACACACACACACACACACACACACACGAAAAAGTCCTTTTCACATGCAGCACTGAATTCTACTGCGTATCTAGAGAATGCATAAAGATTGTTCAGTAAACATGAAACATCAGGAACCCTAATGTATTTATCTTTTAGATTCAAGGCTTATTGAAAACGCCTTCTAATAAAGTTTGCATGTCATGTTTTGCATGTTTCAACAAATATATATTCTAACTAAAAACATTATAAACATTATTGAAATCAAAAAGAAGACATTTAGGGACATATTACTGTTTTCAGTTGGCGGAAATATTTTATTTAAACTGACGATGTTGGCACTAACCTGATCTTTACAATATCTGTGATGACCAACACTAAAGATAATTTGTAATATCTTTTCCAAGAATTTTGACAGACACACAAGTATTAGCCACTCAAAAAAGAACAGATAAAAAGTACGTAGTGCTTATATAATTACCAGAATCAATTGTAGTTGAAATTCACATGACATCGTTCATATCATGAGTTAAATGAAATATTCTTCAACATTGTATCCGACCAAACTGAGCATTTCCGACACGGTGAATAGAAGCACTGCAGCGTAATGTATATACAATAATGTATTTTTTTAATTACATATAAAAAAATACAAATTGTTCCTTTATCTTTGGATTCAAGTTGGAAATGAGTATTTTTCACTTTACCATATTATCCTTTGACTTTTCCTTGTGTCTCATATTTTAAAAATAAAATAAATCAGTGAATCGATAGCAAAGAACAATCAGTGTTAATGGGACTTCATTGTTCAGGACAGTTTGTCATCCTTGCCTGAGTGTCAACACAACAAAGGAAGATCCTAATGGAGGAACCCCACCCCCATCAACACCCATGCATAATTCCCTGGGGGGGGGGGGGGAATAACCCCATCTCACATCACCCACATAGTTTAATTAACCAATTTAACCCGGACCAATCACAATCACTGAAGGGTTAAAACGTCTCTCACACGTCTGTGTTAAAAATGTTGGAACATTCCTGTATATGTGTATAAAATGTTAAATAACTCTACCCAGTGTATAGAAATACACACACACACTGTAGACCAGGAATTCTTCTGCAAAACAAAAGTGGATGGATTGTAAAACTAATAAAATATAATTGAATTCAAGTTGACCCTGATCCAGTTTTCAGTTGCCTGAGGGCATGCATGTTTTGATCTACACAGTAGGAGGCTTTACTTTGTGCTTTCACTCGTTAAATAAAATATGGAGAGACAGGAAATGGGCCGTTGAGATTTTATGCTCGGCTTAAAGTAATAAAAATGTTATTGACTTGATCCTAGACTGGGGCAGCCCGTCCATTACTGTACAGATCTGACTGGACCTGAGTGGAATTTTGGTCATGCAGTGGAATTCATGGCCTTGGTACTGCTTGTTGTAGTTTATTCACTATCCAGCTACTTTAATGACTGCCAGGCCAGATATCCAATACAGTCCAGTACAATCCTTATTCCATATAACTTTGCTATTTGAAATATGTTTATATCAAGAATGAAATTTGTTGTTTCACAGGTTATAAATATTTCATGATGTAGAAAAAAGAGCCTGGGGAGCAGAAAATATGAAAAAGACAGAATACAGACAGAGCTTCTTCAGCAGCTGCAACTTATTCATTACGTCACATTCGTGTTTCACTATTCCAAACCACTCAAGTGTTTTTTAAACAGAATGTACAATTCTGTTTTTTTTTTGCCTACTTGACTTTTAAAGCTTTGGTTGGATTTACTCACTAAGATCTGTATAAATAATTTCTGGTCGGCTCAAGACAAGCCCTAAAAAAAGAAAAGAAAAGAAATCTGCCTGCCTTCACACATGGACGGGCTGTTGTCAACTGTCCAAATGTTAATTGACCAAATAGCTTGAATCAGAGTCATTCCACACATTTTTTGATGCTCAGAAAAACGTATTTTTCAGCTACTCCTTGTCCTACGACTATATGCTGGTAAATGTTTCTTGAGTGAGTGCAATAAACTGCAATACCCCATGCTGCCACTAAACCAGAATCCCCTCCTCTCTTCTCCCATGCTCTCATCCTGCCAGCGTGGTTGGCATCTATACATCATTAGACCCGCTTGTCAGATGGTTGAGCTGTTTCAGATAGTCCCTCCCCAGACACCGTTCCAACGTCAGGATTGATGGGAGCTGACAGTTTTCAATAACTGTCTGAAACCATCAGTCCGTCAAGCTTACGCTGTGATTGGCTGAATGCCTCTTAGAGAAGGTGAATGGAAAGTGAGGGTTTCAACTTTTATGTCAAGCTTTGATTTTTTTTTTGGTTATACATACAAAAAACAATCCAGCAGTGGGTGTCAAAGTGGGGCAGCATGCAGGAGGCAAGACATACTGTATGAGTTCAGCTGCAGAAATCACATGTTTTTGTTTACAGCACATCAACACCAGTTTCAGTCTCCAACGCAGGTTTGAGACGCCAACTACACACCCACTCGCTCGCCCAGTCTTGAATTCTGCGGACAGTGTCCTGCTCCAATCTCACTGGACGTTTTGAGGGGCCTTGCAGGAAAAACTCCGGAGAATGTCCAGAGCAACTGAGTCTGACATTTGCGTTCTCACATGCAGCCCCTCCGGAAAATATCATGCGGCTCTCTAGAGTTTGGTGCATGTCTGGAAGCAGCATCAGTGTGTGAACAAGTGAATGCAACACTATGAATACCTCAGAGGAAAGCCTGTCCAACTCTCTCCCCACATTTGTTCGTTTACTGTCGACTTTTCACCCTGACTTCAAATGTCGCCCTTTGGAACAACTGTAAACACGTCGTCCCTCAAATGGGGTCAGCAGCACGTTGAGTAAGCTGCTTCGTTTCAACCGCATCTCGACCTTTACAACAAGAAGCAGCAACTTCTCACATGTTTTTCCCCCCTGGATTTTGCCTGTCAGGCTATATATAGGCCTGTAGTTTGTGCAGCTTGTTGTAGCTGTTGGCAGCCTGAGAGGAACATTTGCAGACATTACACAGAACAGAAAAAAACACCCTGAGCCTTCTCGGCATATTTATTAGGACATATAACGGTAGTGGAATGCTAATACGCATAATTATTTTGAGCAGAGAGGCAAATCTAATATTATCATTAAGGCTTGTGTCTTAAATAAACCTTATAAACTTCATCTTTTTTTTGTCTATTCTAACAATCTTGCACTTTTCTTAACAGTGTTACAAAGTGCTCCACAAGGAAGAAGTAACAGCGGGGAAGTAGATTAAATACAATTTTTGTCCATTCAGGGGAGAGGTGGCGCCTGGCTGGAAGATGAAGGAGGCAGGACATAACATGTAATTGAAATCACATGTTTTTTGACCTGATCTTGTTTGTCATGAGTCTTTGAGGCCTTCAGTCCTTCTTCTCTCAGGTCTAATATATTTGAAGCTGCTGCTGATTGCTCTGCTCATGCCCACAAAACTTAATGACATATTGAGACACTGTGATTCGGTGAATCAGTCACAGTGTCTTATTGGCAGTACAGATCTTCAGCTGTGCATGACAAACCTGCCACAGAAAATAACTAATGCTCACTGGAGGCCTGGACTTCCTTTACATCCCTCATACTCAATAACAGCAGGTTCCACTGACTGTCGGATTTTCTCAAAATGAATCGAGCCTGGTGTAATATTTCTAAAGATTGCTGAATTTATTATATGTTACATTGGTCGGTGGAGAGATATAAATCTTTAAATGTCACCACTGAATTAAGCGGCACCACAACAATCACATGCCTGTTGAAATTTTTCATACGTGACCTTGAATCTACTGGAGGATGCTGCATGAGACTCTGAAGCTCTTTTCATACAGAGATCTACCTTTACCTTTACCTTTACCTTTGCATGTTTGCCCTGAACCACACCAGCTGGCATTACGTACACATTTAGATGCAGATGTTCCAGAATCCAAGACCAAACAACATCCTGACTCTTTTACACAGACATCAATCAGCTCCGTGACAACCTCCACTGCCGTATTAAGGTTGAACAACATTGCCCCCCTCCATTCCTTGTTTGTACATTGTTTGTACATTTCATGAGGCGGTGTAACTCTACCTACACATTCATTAATGGAGAGAAGATTGAGATTGTTGAGGCTACCATACATTCATATTGTTTATGAGGTGTTTTGAACTATTTATCATGCAAAAAGTTGCTATTTTAGGATCTTTAATAATTTTCTGATTTTCATAGACTAACAAAAAAAGACAAATTAATCAGTAATGACCTTAGTTGCAGCTTTAATCAAAACATTCAGTTAGTGTAAGTCCAGTGTTGTGATATGATAAGTGCCACATCCTGAATATCTGTTTATTCTGACAAAAACAACCAAATAACGAAATCCTAGTACACATAGTTTTAAGCTGTAATTATAACTTAAATATTACAAATCTATACCAGAACTGTGTTACACATATTTAATGTATAATAATAGTAATTTTTAAGTTTTCTATTGTAAAAACAAATTACACACATTCAGAGTACAGAATAGAACAGAATGGAAAGCCTTTATTTTATTGGATGATTAAAAAAACATAAGAGTCCTGCTTAGGGCATAAAAGTTTCATATATAGAGTTGCTGAAAAACAAATGAAAGTTTCATAGTCAGCATCGCACGATCCCCAGTAATTACAGCACAGTTGGGTAAAATAAAATATAGTTTCAGAAAAAGCGGACTGGTGTGTGTGTAAATGAAAATCTAGTTATTTCTGTTCATGGTGACATTTGTTTGTCTAACAGCCGGCTTCCCTCTCATTCCTGCCGCCATGTTCTATTCTCAGTTGCTGATCCTATTGGTGTGCGAGCAGAGCTCATTTGTCAGTGGGCAGCTCTCTCTGTCAGGGATGCATATCGTTAGCTGGGGATGACAGGGCCTTGTTTCACAGCTGAACAGGCCTCTCGGCATGGGATCCAACCCTTGATTAAAAAATAAAAATAAAATACCCAATGGAAAACTAACAAATGATGAATAGCCATGCTTACAGGGAGTTGACAGCATTTGAGGTGGGGGGGGTGCCAAGAAACCTGTGAAGGATGCCATAAATGTGCTGGATGGCTGGAAAAAAACAAACAAACGCATGAACACATTCATTTACTCATATCCTATATGGTTACACGCATGAACACAGGCATGCACAAGACACATTTGTCTTTGTTTTTGGTAGATTATAAATGAAGCTCTTAGCCATTGTTTCTCCGCTCATCTTGGCAGGAATGAACTGCTATAATCGACAGCGTTTCAAGCCTGTAGTTGATGCAAATATTTTCCTCGTCCAATTTGGTTTGGCTTCTGCTTTTGGAAAACATTTCACACATTCCTGCTGGAGCTCAGGGAAATAATAGCTTTTTCTTTTTGGGATCGGCTTAAATCACCTCCACGTTTCCAACTTGGCTCAGCTGCATTGAGAGCGGAGTGGATTCACAGCGAGGCTTCTCCTCTTCCTACATATTTCATGAGGAGGGTGTTGTGAGTTCTACTTTGACTGGGAGGAAAATCCAGCATCAGCATTATTGCTGACACTGGTCTGAAGTCATACACTAAACCAAAGCTTTGGATCAGACCTGGTTTTATGGTCTGTCCCATCACAAGTGTACTAGAGGAGTGAATGCATTGATGATGTATTTGAGATCTGATCACGCAGACCACATCTATGTCACAAACATAAATATCTGCACTTCCTGTACATGTTTCAGTGTAAAAGCACTTACATTATTTATTTTTCAATAAACACATGATATTTCCAAAGTCAATGAGTAATCAAGTTAAATAATCATGGTTGAAATATCGACCAAAATTAGTTGCCATAATCGAGCAGCCCTAGTCTGGGCCACCTTCTTTATACAAATCCATCCTGAGCCACATTGAAGCAACGTCGACTCAGCCTTTCCCTGACCTGGCACACAGCTTCATAATGAATCTGAAGCATTTGTACACCTCTGTGTTTCCCATACTTTGATTAATTTGTGGCCACCAAAACAGTATTAACACTTACCACCACATATTGATTCCCCATTTGTGTTTTAAATGAATCAAATCTTTTTTTCATGGTAAAGCTACATGCATCGATTTGCTCAGCCCCTCCTGCCTCCGCTCTCTCCCTCTCTCTATCGCTCGGACTTGCTTGCAAGGTCACAACCTATCCCATCAAGACAGGCATTTACTGGAGTAATTACATCTCCAGCAAAATAATTACTATGGTAACTGAATAAAACATCAGAAATGACGTTATCAAATCAGTTAGTGCACAGCAGAATATTCACAAAATGAATAGAGGTTCTACTTACATCGACACACTGAAATTCAGAAAGTGGTGGATGTCATTGGAGAAGGAGAAAAGGCATTTCCATTTAAATTCACCTCCCAGAGAGAAAAATTCTTCCTCTTCTACACCTCCCACTGCAGCTGAGAAAACACATTTGCATAGCATATCTCCCCCACACGCCACCTCTATCCCATGCAGGGTGGCATATCTGTGCTTCTTAGAGGTTTGACCATGCTGACACAGCCCTGCGACCCGCTCCACTTGTCTGTATAATAGGGGTGTCACCCCACTGGCAGCTTTACTGCTGAAGTCGATTATGAAGTATTGTTCCAGTACAGTTTTCTTAATCTGCAAGTGCCTGTTAGCATTTCGCTGGAATAAGATGGCACACGTATTCAGTCGCGTGAGACAGACTGACAGACAAAGAGGTGAGGAGACAGACACTCAGACAGATGTATAGCTGTGGTGAGAAATTGTCTGATTTAAATGCAAATGATTGTACTGTGAGGAAAACATTAAAATTCATATTCATTTTGACCTGCTGCTGTCAAAGAGACACCAAACCATATGTTTACTGTACTTGTTATCTACTCACAGGCTGACGAGTAAATATCAGAGGTGAGAAGTGTGTGTGTGTGTGTGTGTGTGTGTGTGTCAAAGAAAGAAAGAGAGATAGACTGAGCAGTCTCTTTTCAGTGCATTCATCAGCCTGACTTAATCTACTTCTGCATCCTTTCCTTTTCATTATTTTGGGGAGGCTGCTTTGTTTCTCTCCTGCCGGCTCCCCTCCTCGCTCTGAATTAAAAGCAGCCTGACACTGTCAGTAAAAGCTGCACTGTTTTTCTTACCCAATGCACCTGCCAGCTGAAGTGTTTTCTATTTCATCAACATGTCATTCAGAGACACAACCCCTCCCCTCCTCCTCCATCACCTCTCCATCACTTTCCCTCTCATTGGTGTGATGTGCAGGTGATTTTTCAGAGGAGTGACAGGATGGATCCTGGTTCAGAACAAAAGCAGTGTCCCAGGGTAGGCCAACAAGTAACTCCATTAGTGGGACAAGCCCCTGACAAAAGGGGGTCAGCCCTGCAGAGACATTAAAATTCTGACTTTGTGAAAACTGTGAACGCTGAAAGCGTACTCAGGAATATGGAAATGAGCCTGCTCCGTCTCTGTACCTGTCAAACTTTATGTTGCCACTTGAAGTCTTGACACAGACCAATGTTTGCACTAAAAGTTTAAGCAGCATTTTTAAAAAGTCTCCTACAAGTGATTTGTTGAGGTATAAATGTTCCCAAAAGTTGGTTCTTTGATATTCTGTAATTTCATGGAAAGATTATGAAACATGAAGCCTCCAGGCCCAGATATGTGAAATGCCCCCCACTGTCTTTCTTGGTTTCATTGTGGTTATTTTGCGTCCAAAATGTAATCAGGTTGTGAACCTAAAGTGACTCGTGTGGTAGATGGTTAATGTGGCCCAAATGACACAAAACAAATCCAGGCCACCTTTGGTTGATACATGGAGTATTGCGATGGCCTAAATCTTCAAACAGGAGGTTACCACCTAAGTGCCATCGTGCCAAGTGGAATGTGGGCTGGATGGTAGTGTTCTGTGTGGGCCAAAAAAATGTGTTATGTGGGTATTGGGTCTTTGTTGTTCCACATCTCTTTGCAGTTGTTTTGTGTCTCTTTACAATCACTTGAAGTAATTTAATTGACTTTCGAACAAAAAATTAAAAAAATTAAAGACCAGAAGGCCCCTGGCTCCTTTGGCCCTCGGTTATGTCTGGCAGGTTCGATTGATTTATCCAGTTATGTGTTTCTGCTCTGCACACGACTGCAGACATCCAAAGTTTTATTTCTTGTCATAAAAATAATGAAAGAAGAGAAATTTAACAGCCTGAGGATTAATTGTCAGTTTGAGAAACACCAGCTCTAAAGTTCTCTTCTTGCCATGAGGGACAGGCCAACATGAACAAAAGACAGCTTAGTA